CCTCCAGTCTATATACATTCTGGACGTATACTCGGCATTTATGATCGTTATCCCCCAGATCACGGTACAGCACGATATTTCTACAGTTTTGGAGGACGTGCGAGATGGGGTCGTTGACTCTGGTTGGGAAGACGTTTGGGTTTCGTGTTACAAAGAGGGACACACAAGTGTTCATGGCAAACTCCGCATATCCAAATCCGCAGGAGGGGTAACGTTCGATGTGCGCGAAGGGATTGAATGGTCGGGATCCTCAGCGGTAAGTTTTTCCCCTGTGGAGGATGGTTTTCTCGTATTGACAAATCTCAATCTGCGGACCATCTAAAATTCTATCATTGAGGCCGAATTTAAAGTTGCCTGTTCGTCCCTTGACATAAAGCCAACCCTTGTCCGTCTGCCGAAGCAAACATATGGTCCACCTAATTCACAAAAGGTGAGTTTTCCGACCCATTACGGTATCACCTCGGGTTGAGCATACACTTGGGCGGGAAAATGTGGCCGACAATTGGTTGACCACAATTTCTTGTGTTTGGGCGAGATCAAATCTGGCGCTCACAATGGGACTTCCTGCCCTAGCTCTCTTTTGAGCCAAAAAAGTACCCACCACGTGGTTCGTTTCGATTTTCTGGATTCGACTACATCTCGGCCACATATATACACGCAAGGTTTAGCGCAGTTCACCATCTCGTTCCAATATCTTTTGTGGCATCTTACGCCGAGTTCGTAAAGCCAATCCCTGGCTTGATATACTGCCAGACTGGACGCAAGGACGAGAAATCGGTGCTACTGCGTCAATACCTTGCTCACCCGCCCTCCCACATCCTCGTCCTGCGAGTCAAATCGGTAGTCGAGAAAGCTGGGTGCGCTGGCGCAGCGTGGTGTTGACCAAAACGCCCATATAGCTGATAATCTCTTGAATTCTTCCTATAAAATAGCTCCAGGCGTCTTTTGCTCATGGGTTGTTTAAGAGTAGATTCACCCCCCGAGCCCAATTCAGATCTAGTCACCCCAAGGGCGATCATCTGTACTCAAGGAGAGCGGAAGGACATCTTTCTCTCTTCCCTTGAGTCATATTCTTATACCCCTACAAAGGGAGACCAGCTAACTCGGTCTTTCCTGGATACCTTCATTTACTCGAGCCACCGTCCTTCCATTCGTTGTTATTAGCAAACCCATTAGCTAACTGTTTCCCTAGTCTAAAAAGGTCACCACGTTCTGCGTCTCCCCTGACGGAACTGCGTTCGCTTTGGGCTATTCGGATGGATCGATTGTGATATCTTCTAGCCATTCTGGCCGATCCATCCGGATGGGATCTCCACATTTATCAACTGTCCTTTCCTTACGCTTCTTTCCCTCCTCGATTGTCTTGCTCTCCTCATCTTCCGACCATTCCGTCCGCATTCATGATGCCCAATTGTCCCAACTGCCACCAGCATCACCCTCAGATAGTAATACTCTCACCACTGTTCGTACACTACAAGCGCACTCCGCCGGTGTTACAGGGTGTGCGATTGTGGAACGAGGGAAGAACGTTGTCAGCTTTGGACGCGACGCCACAGCGCGCTTGTGGAATGTGGGAGAAGGGAAGGAAATTGTTGGCCGAAGGTGGCGAGCACCCAAAGGGTCGCCAATCCTCTCCGGCTGCCTCGACGAGAAGTGGCAAGAAGCGGACTACGACTCTGAAGGTGGGCAAGTGGAGGGCCAGAAAGACCCACACAGAGCTTTGGATGGCGAAGTGGGTACTGAAGGGAAGGTGGTATTTGTTGGCCTACAAGATGGTTCAGTAAGAGGATATACTCTCTCTTCTGGAGAGCCTATATTCTACTCTTCCCCCTCGTCTTCTGGTGCGAAGGCCTCCCCGGTGGATTCAATATGCTATTCGCGCTCGACCTCAACACTCGCTGCCGGAAGACGAGACGGGAGCGTCACAGCATGGGATCTAAGGAACTTAAACCATCCTCCCATGCCTTCCCAACAAGAGGGTGACCTAGGACCGCCGGCCCGAGAAGAACTCTTCGACTGTTCACCTTCGTGGTCCTTCCGTAGGAACACTGCTGGTATAGAATGTCTAGCTATCATCGAGAATATTTCTCCCTCGTCTCCGGCTCAATATCCAGGTTCGATTGAACTTGTTGGGTTACTTGTTGGATCGGCAGATGGACTCCTTTGTCGCATAGGGCTGAAACCCCAAGGTGACGTGGTCCTCCTGGAAGAGTTCATTGGCATAGAATCTGGAGATGGAATCAGAGGGGTACAGTCAGTCGTTGTTGATAGTTCAGAGATGGTGTGGTGTGCGGCGGATGACGGTTTAGTGAGAAGATATTGAGATAGTGCTTGTTTTAGTGCGCTGAACGAGGCGCCAATTCCCATTCAAATTGAAATCTACCTTGTTCCCAAAGAAAACAGATGACGTAAATACAGTAAACTTACTAAGCCATACGTTGAAAATTAGATACTTCTATAGTGAG